CTCTCTCTCTCTCTCTCTCTCTCTCTCTCTCTCTCTCTCTCTCAAGCCCTTACGAGGCGTCTCAGTAACAAGACACGTGCTATGCAGATGTCGCGTCCAGGAGCCACCCCCTCGGCGGGACGCCGTCCGTGATTTAGGCTAATTACGTGCGACCGACGGCCGAGTAGATCTCTCCTACCGCCCGGCTATATCTTCATACGCTTCACCGGGTTACACAATCTCTTTCGTGTATCGTAGACGTATTCGCCCAGATAAATCGTATTTCAGGTTTGCCATGACCGAGCATGTATGTATTTTGCGTTTTGTTTCTTGCGTTGAATGCACATTAAAACATCAGATCAGACTAGTAAGCGCGAACAAACACGAACAAGTATGAACAAACGCGAATGAACAACTTGTTTCAGTGAGACAGTGAGGCACGTTGAGCCAAGTCGCTTGTTTGCTCTCATTTGCTTGACCCTCGCTCGCTTCGAATTTTCTATGCTTCGCCTTTCCACTTGAATGTACATACATTCGAGAACTGTCGCCCTGCTTCGTCGAGCCCTTTGGTCAGTTTAGCTTTCGTTAAGAGAAATTAATTCCACAATATAGAGCGAGGACTCTTCAATCGTCAGTGTTCAATATTTTGGTTGTTAAATCTCAAATCAGAACTTCGATAAAGGGATTGACGGGAACTCTGGAACACCTCGTATATACATTGTATGTACTTGTTTGTACACGTAATATGGCTGCTTATCACGCGAAATACACGTGTATACGGATACGCATCGAGCGGATGCGGATAGACGTGATAATTCCCTCATACATGTAAATGCAGCTGTACATGGCGTTTACATTATGCGTGCACGCGGTATATGCGTATATATACATATGTATACAATACGTACGGCGAAATTACGCCGGTTGTACTAAATACCGATCCTTGACTGCGCGTATAATTATCCTGACGTATCGGTGTGCGGCTAGATCTTCGCAATATACAGCTAAGCGGGTTGCTCGTACATTTATACATGCATATATACAGTACATAATATAACCATATATATATGTACTTATATGTATATCATATATGTCTGGACGATTTTAGTAGACCGGAAACTATCAACGGAGGAAGCGACTCCATGCGACGCGAATGCACTACCTGTGCATTTGCGTAAGCGTCTATCATCGTCCGTGGTCTACATCTGTACTCAGATACCGCGATTGTTCGCGTACCATCTTATATATGCTTTACATTTAAAAGGAACGTGCTCTTTTCTTCTCACAAGTTTCGTGGATCGCGCAAACGTGATAATTAATCGACGGCGAGACGTGCAATTTCAATAAAAACGCACAGCGACGAAATGCGTATACGATACGATACACAATTTGACGATGCTTAGAGTCCCACGGTCAAGTTCGTGTGCGTGTGCGTGTATGTGTGTACATGTGTATCGGGATACGAAATCGCAATTAGATTACGAGGGTTCAATAGTCGCGGCAGGATCGAAGGGTCACCCGCGGGACACGATCCGCGCCCGGTAGCTTATCCTTCGACCGTTTCCCTCTTCGCTCCTCTCACGTGGAGATGAAATATGGATCGAGGAACGGTGACCACTTCGTATCATCGCTGGCTATACGTTCCCGACGATAGTCACCGTTGAAGTCTGTTGTCAACTGCCTTTCTCCAGAAATTCCTGCCCACCCGTGTGACGAATATATCCGTCGAAAGGTATCTTTTTCGTCACTACGAGTTCATATGTGGTGGTGGTGTAACAACGGGAACAATCTAAAATACTTAAATCCAGAGCTTTCAATCGTTACCTTAATCTTGTGGACTTGAATTTTGCGCTTTGATTTTAAATTCGGAAAATCTCCGAAGACGAAATGTGGAAAGTCATGCGTTTCGCTGCGAGGAAACAGGCACGATGAAAAGAAAATAAGAGAGAAAGAAACGTTGATAGCGAGATGATTGCTGGGCGGACGAGTATGCAATTTCGTAGCGTTTTATAGCCCTCATAACATTTTCGCCGCATCCCGCGTGCGCGCAATTAGCGAGTTAGCTACTGTGTAATCATGCGTGTCGTTAAAGTGTCTTAAAGAAGCAAGAGACCCGACTTTGGTGTTAACCGTGTCCCGGTCGACAAACGAATCCCGGTGTTTAAAACCGATTTAAACGGGCAACTTGTTATTACCAGCGAGGTAGGTGCCGCATCGTAAAAAGGATCGCGCGTGCGCGAAAAAACTCATCGTGTTAAACACCAGTTACATTTCGCCGTTATGTTTACCTGACACTAGACGCTTGTATATTATTCGTGATAAAGTGTACGCGTTGTGAGCTGTGGTGGCGTATTAACATCCATCTGTACCGAGAGAAACATCTATATTTACGAGAAACATCTCAATTCTCCAAGAGTTTCTCTTCCGGATGATCGACAGTTCGACCGCATTCTTTGGGAAAAATAAGTAACAACTGTAACAAAATAATTGACTCTACTAATAAGAGAGCTCGATATATCACACCCCACTATCACTCCTATCCTTAAGCGTGAACGCTCAAGACATCATAATCAAGCGTCGATGCAATTAAATCCGTATTATATTTCCAGGTTAAATTTTTATCGCGCGTATCTCGATTCCCGCGACTCTGCCAGGACCGACGAGTAACAATGTGAAATATCTGGTTTCCTTTTTCGTTGCAGGTGTCGGCGGGCCAGCATATGCAGCTCACGGGCGACCTGAAGCCGGTTGTGTCTGTCGCGGCGCAGCAGGGCATGTACTTCAATCAGCAACAGACGCAGAATCAAGCCGGGCCGTCGGCTAATCAGGCCGACACCTACTGCTCGGTCTCGCAGTCCCAGACCATCAATTTCACTCAGCAGAGTCTGAGGCAGCGGGCGGCGGCCGCGGCCGCCGGCGGAGTGCCGCAGCCGGGCCCTGCCGGCCCAGGGACGCGGGGCCATCCGCAGCAGGTGCCACCGGGCCAGGTCGATCAGCATCAGCACGCAAAGCTTCTCCAGCAGCAGCAGCAGCAATTGATGCGCGCGCAACAGGTAAAGCGACCTGATTTTCTTCGCGCCGACGAAATTTTCCTTGTTTTACACAGTTGTGTCTCGAGGTTCGCGGAGCTCCCGTTTCCCGACGATGGAAACGGCGGCGCGTTGACGGTGACACGTGTCGACAGTGACACGTGTCGCCGTCCGAGCGATTTCGCAATCAACGTAAATGACTTCCGTCCGGATTTTTTCATACCCAACATCGCGCGGAAATAGACGCGAAATTATTTTCATGCTACATAGATTGCGCGTTCGGTTCTCGTTTGTCCTGAATTGCTTTACGTAGTAACGATCGTACGTGTAACGTTTATCTTTATGCGATTATTATCGTCTTCCACAAGACGCTTTCGCACCTCGGCCGATATCATCGCGTTCGAAAATTGCAATTCCGAGCCGTTACACCGATAAACGACATCGTCCTCCGGAGCGCGAGAGCTTTCGCCGTGATGATAGTCTATGCAGGTAAGATGATCGCGAGATCGCGGCGCGATGGCACATTATCCGAGACATTAAGCTCGTATCCGGCAAGAGAGGAAGAGAAAGAGAAAGAGAGAAATAGGAAGAGAGCCCGCGACGTCCGCGTATGCAACAGGTACCGCTACTAGGTCTTTTGCAACTTCTGCCCCGTCGCGTTGAAAGAAGCGACACAAATGGGACAAATAGCGTGAGCGCGGGGGACAACGGGGGCTCTTTCTCCGAGACGGGGAACAATGGGCGAAAAAGTTTTTGCGCCGCGCGCCGCGGAGTTTCCTGCGGGAGCCCCGTGATATCGAGGGAAGCGGGATATCGGCAAATTAGCGTTCTCGGCGATTACCTCACGCAAGATTAAACGTCGTCGATACGTACGCTTTTATTCGCGTTGGCTCATCGCGTTGGCCTTACGATTCTTGATGACGTTAAGCGTCATTTGATACGCTTATTGCGTACGCAAAGAATATCACACAAAAACGCAAATCGTTATAATTTGTCAGTTTCCTCACGTATATACATTCTTTCCGATTTTTTTCTCTTTTACTTAAGGATCTTTTAACGAAGAAAAAATTCGGGATTATCTTTGCTTAACGAGGATTTGATAGAGGACGATGTTTTTTCTTAATGACTCTTTAATTCTTCACCGTAAAAGCCTTCAATCGAACTTTTCGATCAAAGTATAAGATATGTCCAAGTATGTTCAAGATTTAGTAGTCATTCTTAACTGTAGGATCATAGAAGGGACCACGATGTCGTGGGCAGCTAAGTCGTTTCATTCTTTATTGATATGCGACCCACGCTTTATTTAATCTGAACGACATTCGAGCCACCGATCACATCGTTAGAAGTTTGGCGGCAGATAGCGGCTTACTCTTCATTTCATCTAAACAACGGTTTGAATAAACAAACGCTTTCCGGGGCCGGTATTCATAGTCAGATCTTATTGTATATAAGATCGTCTTAAGTTTACTTTCAGATACTCCGAAGCCAATGAAACGAGTACAACGTTTGAAGATTAATTTGAGACGACCTTAATTATAAGATCCGGCAATGAATATCGCTTTTAAATAACCGAACCACAATAGTGGATATGAAGAATGGCCTGAGTTAATTCTTCTCTAATACAAGTATCGGACAAGTGAAATTGGCTGGCCGGGATGATCCGCGTGATAACTGTACACCATCTTAGTTTGAGTTCTTCTAATAGTTCCAACTCTACATAACTAAACTTTCAAATTGATTTAGATTGGATTAAGTAATTTCTTGTTGCGCGGCCTGATTTATATCTTTTCATTGAAAAACTACGATTGATTGTCGCGCGATTAGACGTGCATCGCATCGCCAGGAAGTCGATCTAGCAATTGCGAAATTGCGTACACGAAGCTGCTCGTCGAGATCTCGGAGTGTCGCGTGGTCGCTTATCGGCGGATGACTCAGTCCTCAGTCCGCAACAGCCCTATTGTTATCTCGATAATGTTAAGGTACCAAAGACGACGGTCGCTCGTGCTCCAGTTACTAATTGTATGTTTCGCGCAGTTGGTTAGTCATCCCGTTCTGCCAGGGATGAGCTGCAGGCGATAAAGCGGTGCTGCGGTGCATCATCCAGAACGGCGCGCGCGGCCAGCCCAATAATTTTATCCCGGGCGTGGAGTGCTCGGTCAACGTTAATATGCGCGAATCGATTGCTTTCTTTCGAAACACATTTTTACATACATGTGTAATGCTCATGCAATTGATTATTAGTGGACAGAACAGCTTTAATGAATTGAGGAGGCATAATTCTTGCGGCTAATTCTTGGATCGCTTCGTCTTGAATCACTTCATCTTGAGAATCACAGTTCCTTATCAATATACTCTTGCATATGCTACAATATTTATATATATTGAATTATATTTTATTTAATTATATTTATTATGTTTTATTGCAGTAATTATTCTATTGTACTAATAATGTCTTTAACATAAAGCGGAAAGTTATAAATGATAGAGTGATATCTTCATCGGAATTCACGGTATGTTCTCTTTCGGTTTTCCGCTCTCACCCGCAACATGCACAAGCGCGAGATCTCGATTAGCGCTTACTCGTAGCCTCGCGATGATGTTGGAATTGACGAGATGATCGGTCCCGTATCCATTCCGATCCATTAGGATAGTTAACATGCGCGGAACAACAGGAACATCATCGTACAACGTCATCTATGAGTTCTAGGAATTGTCCGGGCTCATAACAGAAACCCATTCGATCTCTCATGCCATAAATGCGGTACCATAAATGCGAATCGAGACGATAAAATACTTCGGTAACTTTTTGCAAAATTACGAAATCGGCTCGCACGGATAGAATCGATGACGAAAGGAAAAAACAACGGGAAATACTTTCAATACTCTCAGAAACTTTTTTAAGCCCCCCCGCGAGTGAAAGAGCAAGTATAACTTTCTTCTCTCCTGTGATTAATGACGCTCGTAATCGGTGACCTATTGCGATCGCGTTGAGCGCATCGCTGCGCGCGCGATTTAGCGGGATCGGCGACGGGGCGGCGATCTTGTTGCGCAAGAGCATCCGGGATTGCGTTTCCCGCTTCCTGGTGTTACGCGGCCGCGAGAGGAAAGTCCGAGGCGAGGGAGAGACGCACGACGCACGACAATGCAGGCGGTGGCCGATACGCGGGAATCGGCGGCCGCCGATGCAGTCGAAGCGGAGAACCCGCCTGTCGCTTTCCACGCCGCGCCGTTCGGATACGTTCACCCTTTCGCTCGCCCCCTCTCGCGCCGCTCTCTCCTCCGCTCGCTTCCTCTCGTTCGTCGCGCCGGCCGGCGTCTCTTTCCACTCTCGACCGAGCAACAACCTGCGATTAGGCGAGCAACGCCCTTCTGCTCTTTCGCTCTCTCGAGGCTCCGCGAAAGAGCCGACCTTAAAATCGCGCGCGGCGCGTTGCGATTTTCAGGCGCGCGCTCGCCGATTCTCGAACCGGCGCGCGGCGTCGGAGACGACTTTCCAAGTCTCACCATTCAAAGCGAGTCACCAAAAATGGGACACGTGAATGTGTGTTTGCCTTTGGAGATGCGATAAGATGATATTTCTATAGCACGCGATATTTTTAGAACGTCCTAAAATTTAATTAAATTAAGATTAGAACGTCCTGTCTCTGTCAGGTCGCTTTGCATATCATTCTTGTATTTTTTTTTTCTGATTTTCGTGCGTCTCTGCTGTTACAGGTGATGCAGCAGCAACAGCATATGACGGGTGGAATGGGAAGTGTAAGGCCGCCACCGCCCGAATACAAGGCCGCGGCTCAGGCACAGATGATGCACGCCAGTATCGGTATGGGTCAGCAAGCGAGGTTCGCCAATGCCGGACCCATGCGCAGAGTTACGCAACAACCTATGCCGCCGTCGGGTAAGTTCAATGAGAAATGATCTCACCGGCCTCGTTACACGTTTGTTCGTTTCTACCTTACAGTTTAACATCCAGATCTCGACATATAAGAGCTGGATAATTTCGCGGAAAAAAATTAGCAATAATACAGCAATAAGATCCGTTGCTTGGTGATAAACAGATATTTCGTATTCACCGTTGTTCAACATCTTGGCGCGGGTTACACGTTGTTGAATATTACCGCGGAAAGAATTCAACCGAGCGTAAACGTGATGCTGACGTTCCGCTGGATTCGCTCCAAGCTAGAGGGAGAAAGGCCGAGGAGGCAGGCAAGGGGTGGCGAGGAGACGGAGGGAGTCGAAACTATCCTTATATATCTTGGCCTCTACAAGACTCTCCTATTGATCGGGTCGACGCCGGTTTTCCCGAGATTCTATCCAAACTGAAGGAAATCTGCAGATCCTCGCGCGCGCGCTCTCTCTCTCTTTCCTCTAAAATTTTGCCGTAACGCGCCGTCACAATTCGCAGTCTCGATTTGGTTGAATTTAATGCATTTGACTCGGCCGCAAAACATTCTTCGTTCTCGCAGTTTTCGAGTTTAAGTAACAACAGCTAAGCAACGCTAAGCAACGTCCCGGCATTATATGGTACGTGTGGATGTTTTTCGCAGGTCCGATGATGAGGCCGCAAATGGCGCAACAGCAGCAGCAGCAGGCGTTACATGCAGCCGGTGGTAATATGTACATGGGCGGCGGCGGAATGGCCGCCATCGGCGGGATGCATCAGATGCACCAGCGGCTAGGCTACCCGAGAACCAACAATCAACGGCCGCCCAACGTTAGCGTCGGCCCTCCGGACGGCCTTGGGAACAGCATCGCGGGTCGCGGCGCCCAGCAGGAGTGGCGACACGTTTTGATGCAACAGCAGCAAGGCTTTCAGGCGCAAATGCGCTCACAATTCAACCAGCAAGGTCACCAAGGTGAGAAAGAGAGAAAGCAAAAAAAAAGAAAGAGATAGAGGAAGTTCGGGTATTTTAAACCACTAAGTCTTTTTCAATATATAACTTGAAAACTATTAAAGATAGTTGAACTTTGTTTACGCTGAGTTGTAATGCCAAATGTTTGTTACAACGTGTTTCTAATCAATTTCGTTTATTTATAGTGAGTTAAATGTTATAGCAAAATTTTCGAAGGTAGATTTTTGTCGGCTAATTTGAACTGTGTCGAGCAAGGTAAACTACTTCATTAATCTTACAAAAAAAAAATAATTTTTACCGTGTTTCAAAGTATTAATAATAAGGTTAAGGTGTTAATAATAAAATAGTTTATAATAATTATTAAATTATACATTTATTTTATTGCAAACTGTAATTTTTATAACATTGTCATATAAAAATGTATGAAACATGTTTAAAACTTTTTTATTAATGTAATAATATATACTCAAAATAATATAAACTTTTTACTCATAAACTTTACTTATAAAATAAAACGCATTTAAGAAAGAGAACTATCTCGACTTGTCTGACATCACTATTTTTACCTTTTCGTCATATAAAATAGAAATGTACACCATATGACACTTGCTAAGTATACTACACTAAAGTTCTACTTTAGTTTTGCATGCAACAAAAAGCGATTAAGAACGTTAACTGCAAAATAAAAGTTTACTAACCTCACGCTGTATGCGATACACGCCAAATTTTCCATTTCAATTTGTTATTTAACGACACGTTGTACCACGCTGCCGCTTTGTATGTCAGATTATGGGGCCGGCAACCAGTAATTCCACTGCTAGATTGTGACACTTAATATTTTAAATATCACGGTGGTTTTATTTATAAGAGTATTTCACCTTACCCGAACTTCCTCTATAGAGTCGCCGGATGTACTATCGTATTGATGGTCGCGAATTAGTGGTTGCCGATGTCAGAACTCATTTCGTGTCAACTCGGAGTTCGCTCTTGCGAGCGAAGCCCTCGTTTCCGTCGGAAAACGCGAATGCCCGTGTCGCTTCGTTTTGTTTGGATACGAACGCATAAATGCAAATTATATTCATAGAGAGTTAAGTGCGTCCCGGCGAATTTTTACTCGCTATTATTCGTCAAAATTATTTGCGCAGAATTGACATGCGGGGATTTTATCGGATCGACAATTTTTTGCAGGTGCTTTCGGCTTGGGTGGCGCGGGCGGCACAATGCAAATGACCGCGGCGCAGATGCAACATCAACAATTAATCCGCTCGCAAAACGGCGGTCTAGCCGGCTCGGGGATGGCCAACAGCACGCAGATGCAGCAGCTGTTGACACAACAGCACCAACAGCAAACGCTGGCCATGCAACAGAACAACAATCAGATGTCGTTGCAGATGCAAATGTCACAGACAACATCCGTAAATTCGGTCAACGTTACCGGAACCGGTAAGTTATCCATGAGATATCTCAAGGAGACTACACCGGAAACAATGATGTTACGACGTGTTGTCAATTTTTTTTTATTGGTCATACATACTCTCTAAAAGTCGAAGAGTGGAATATCACTCAAAACAAATAAAATGCAAGTGTAACGAAAAGTGAAAATTGAGCCTGTGCACTTCGAGTATTCGCCACTCTAAGAAAGAGTAAAATTGCGCTTTATAAGTTGGAGTGAAATCGCATTCCATTTGAGTGAAAGGACACTCTTTTTGAGTGCAATAGATCAGTGTCCAGTGGAGTGAATTATATCACTCTACAATTTTGAGTAGAAAATTTCACTCTGTTAGAGTCATTTATCAGTCGATCTTTAATGAATCGTGATTCACTATAGTTTTAGAGCCGAAGCACATAACATTGCGTAGCGATATACGACAGTCGTAGTCGTGAACGTAAGTAACACACAAGCTTTGACGTATTCTGATTGTCAGAATACGCCAAAGCTTGTGCGTTACTTACGTTCATGACTACGACTGTCGTATATCGCTATGCAATGTTATAAGCTTGACCCTTAGAGTGAGATCGTATCACTACGGTGGAATAGGTGCTCTAAAAATTTGAGTGAAAAATTCACTCCTATCTTATATAAGTGCCCGCATTTACTCACATTAGAGTGACAACCCTCTCTTTTAGAGTGGCTATCGCAATCATTCTAATACATTAGAAACCACTCTATGAGATTTAGAGAGTATCAAACGGAATCTCCGTGTAAGATTATCTGTCCCGTATTTTGTGCCCTGAGTACCCATAGCGATTTAGGCACATTTAATTGGATTTGATGAATTGTATGTTTAGGTTCTCCCTTGCATCCACATCAGCAGTATGGCGGAGGCAGTCCGGGAGTGCGCAGTCTACCACCACCGCAGCAGCACACTCAGCCGCCGCCACCAGCCGCAACTACGGATCCGTCCGTGGCCCCTGACTTTACTCTCGAATTCCTGGAGAACCTTCCTCCGGGAGACACGTCGAACTTCAGCGCCCAAGAGCTGCTTAATTCTCTCGACTCCGGTTTTAATCTCGATGCGATGATGTAATGGGACCACGCCTGCTGTGTGGTCGGTTCAGATGTCGGTGTCTGGCGGTATGCCGGTTTTACTAGGAATGGCTGACGAGTGAGACCGACCGTCCCCCTAAAGTATATACTTAGCGCGACGATACCGACGAATTTCTTTTCGTCCGTCCGCGTATCGACCTGCCTTTCCGTGATTTCCCTCATTGTATCAGTCGAATCGATTCCTTTGTCAGTACCTTTTTGGAAGAGAGCGTCGACCCGAATGTCCTTTTTCGACCTTCGAATCTTATGAGAGTTCTAAACGGAACGATCGATGAAAATAGTAATATAATAAAGAAATTTGCTGACTCTTTTGAACTCGATGCTGAAGGAACGGACGCAGGTTGGTGATATGCAGGTACTTTGTTATATTTGAGAACAGACAATTGTGAGAGTGACAGTTACCCACCGGTGCGACAACGTCCCACAGCCGGTCGTAGTGCATTCTCGGTCACCGCTTCCGCGGCCGCCGACTATTCTTCTAGGCAATCACATTTTAGTAAAATTTAATTTTGTAATAATAACCGCCGAAGGGCGAGGGAGTTTAGCCCGTGGTGACGTGGTAGCGTGGGATATCAAGAGGTACGTGGAAATCGTTCTATCTCTCGTTTTCTTGTCGGGCAACGATGCCGCACTTTGAAGGAGGACAAAACCTCGCGAGAGACCGCGGTTCCTATTTTCTTTTCAAGTTCGCCCACGGCCGGCTAATATCGAGAACGATCGATAAATTTTCGAGTGCTCGCGTCGACGACTTCGACGAAACTGCGATGACTTCGACGGGCATTCCGCAAGACGATTCTCCTCTCTCTTGATTTTTCACGTCGAAATCCGCGCGAGTAGATAGAGATATTGATACGAAGGCCGCGATTAGGGTTTACTCGACTGAACCTATATTCGGCCGGCAAAAACTGGTTACCTTGCGCTGGCTCGTTGTTGGAACACCTCCAAGATTTCTGGATCGACGAGCTCGGCCGGGCGTTAATACTTTATAAGGATAATAATGTAACAATGTAACGATTATATTATATTATTATATTATAATAACGTAATCATATATCGTTATATTATTACATTATTATATGGAAATAATAATGTAGTAACGTAACGATTAGAAGGTAGCGTATTTAATTATGCCATTAACGGCATATTTACAATTAACAGCAAGTCAATTATCAAACATTCAATTCATTTTTATGAGTTTGCGTCGCGCGACGTGAAAAATCGCGCACGCTGATCTGATCGGGTCCGTACATCGGAAGATTCTTACGATAAGAAGGATGAGAAAAAGAACTTCCTCCTAAACTGCATTGTTAGCGCTAATACAAGGATAAAAGAATTCGTCATTGTACATAGATATTAAAAAACTAGAAGAATTTTGAGGCGTTAAGGTCGCACAGTTTAGCCGATTACATAAGAATAAGGAACCTAAAATATATAGATAAATATTATGATGATAATAGTGATTAACGACGATGGTAATATGCAAGTGGAGACGCGTGCACGAAGAAATTATGCGCGGCTGAGAGGGAGCGTGTGATAAAAGACGTGAAAACGAATGTATCAGCCGACAGAGCACATTTGTCGATCGGTATATATATTTATTAAGTTTCAATACCGAATGTGCTGTGTCGCGCTATGTCGAAGCTGCACACAAAATAATCACGGTGAGGTAGATTCCATTTTCGACGCGGCGAACTACTCGTATTTTCTAAAAGGGGCAATCGTTTCTCGGGAATTCGCGCGGAGTGTATCGTCGAAATATATTCACCATTCTGTTCTTTTTTTTATTTATTTCGTCAAACGGTGACCTCTTATACTTTATTCCGGATTTTTAAGAAATCATGAATAACGAACAAAATCTCAAAGTTTACGCTTTGTGTTCGTATGTATTCGAAACTGTTAACGATGTATAACAAATCGCAATGTAGTTCGATGCTACAAGGGAGGCAGAGAGAGAGAGAGAGAGAGAGAGAGAGAAAAAGGAATCTTTGACTATTCTTCCATAGCGATACATTCCATAGATAACAAAAAGATAGCGATCTGTGGTTCGTCTAATCAAAAGTACTGTTTTTAAAAGGAAAAAAAGAATACACGACAGAAAGGAATATTAATGTTATAATATAAGAGAAGCAGATATTGAATCCCGCGCTTATATGTACATTCGCAGAAGAGCACATCCTCGACCGTTCGCCGAAAGTGTGCACGAAGACTTCCGATCGAATTTTATTGTCGCTTGTCCGCGACTCTGCTAGAAATTAGCGAGTCCCGCGCCAAGTGGATTAGAAGATAATAATACTAATAATAATAATCATTTTTTAAATTTCTCTCAATCGGGTGGGGTGACACTATCTTGTAAAATATTGGGGCCACAAAATATAATCTAAAAAAAGGGGGGGAAAGAAGAAAAAGAAGAAGATTAGAGGTCTGATTCTCACGTCAATACCTTTGTAAAATCTTTGAGAAAAATCGACGAAAATCTATTATATTGGTTTGTCCGTTTTGTACGTTTTACGCGAGCGAGGGGAGGGGAGGGAAGAAAAGAGAAGAGCGAGGAGGTAGAATTGCGCATTGTTATAGGAAAGAGCATCAGGGACCAACCGAGAGAGCAAAGTGCGTGATGTCGATTGTCACAGTGGATCGTTGTCTCTCTTTTTTGAACGGATTGCGGAGAAGGAAGCAATGTGCCTAACAAAAAAAAAAAAAAAAAAAAAACAATTTGAGCCGTTTGTTACCGACTTGTTAGAAAATTAGCCACACGGTGTCAACATTGTACGAGGTTTTGCGCAAAGGGAACCTACGCACGTACGCATAGACAGGACAGGTAATCGCGATGCTGCATCGTTGAAAACGTTGATTTTTTCACACTGTCGACAGTCGATCGTGAAAGGAGGGAATCGAGGCGAAAGTTGCGACGTGTTAATTTCTCGAGGGTGACCTTGGTTGGGACGCATATATATCGTATTATTTATAAATAATATTTATAAAAGAAACATTATATAAAACGGGCATTTCGTATATAGGATAAATTCCATGTTGAATTGTTATTAATAAAAAGCGTTGAGTTTCTACAAAGATATATATATCTCTTCACCGAAACTTTTCGAACTTTTCCAAAATCTCCGTCTCGTCAGTGACGTCACGTTGCCGTCAGTAACGACGCGTTATCGGAAACTCCATGATTAGCCGAACGAGATAAATTCGATCCGTTTCGCCACGGAAAATCCCAGAGACGATAAACCATCGGCGGCTTATCGCGTATCGATCCGTCCGAAAATTAATGCGCGTTATCCGGCACGTTATCCCGCCGCCAATAACGCGAGCGTTTCGCGATCGGCGTGCAACGCGATACTTTCTACTACGCATCCCTGCTTTATCTCTTTCCCAATATATCTCGTTACTATACCCCCTTCCCCCCCCCTCCGCAAGAATTGGAATCGGGATTTTCGTTTGCCGGCCGCATACGTCTTTCCTTTTGCGGCTTATAAAAAAAAAACGATCCCAAATTTTGTTTCATTTTCTTTCATTTTCTTACGGCACTGTTCCGTTCCATACGAAAAATCGTCGGGCGAAACAGGGGGTTGATAACTCTTAACGACAGTTTCATTATCGTTTATTTGCGTTGCGCAGATATTATATACGGTAGAAAAAGACTGCGCAACGACAATATAACGATAACAAAACTATCGTTGAGAGTTACGGAATAGGCTCACAGGGGTTTAGGTCAAATTCGCGCGTCTCCATCTGCGATACGGTTTTATACTAGGTCGAATGGCAGCCTAATGTTGCTGCTCGTGGGTGGGCCTCGCGGCAGGAGGATCAATATCATCGTGAGGGAGAGAAAACGAGCAGGCTGAGAATGGGAGCAAGGGGGTAGGTAGGTAGGAGCCGCCGCCGCCGCCACCGCCGCTGCGATGAGGGATAAGGATTACAAGGGCGGCGGCGACGGTGACGGCGGGGGAAAGAGATAGCTTGGCGAGAATCGCGTACCCCGAAAATGTCAATTCGCCGTCCCGGCTCCTCGCGGAATTGCGATCGTGATAAGGTAATTGCTCCACGTACGTGCTCGGCCCTGTTCAATTTCGTACATCCCGGAACTTGCGCGTTTTGTCGTCGCCATCGTCGTCATCGTCGTCCGCTCCGAGACGAGTTTCGATCATTCTCACCCGTTCGCACCTGTTTGATCCCGTCCTGTTTAATCGCGTCAATATCGTCCCGGATTCCCGAATTACATTTCAGCGACGAAGCGCGCGGAAGCGTCGACCTCGACGAAGCGTGTCCGAAAATGGTTCCCCGGAAGTCGTTAGCGCTTAGTCGTTTAGATACCTATGGCTCGTCACTCGTTTCGTTCGTTCGAATCTGCTGCGGGCGTCTCGCACGAGCTACGTTTTTATCGATCCAAAGCGGTGCGCGAGCAGAACAACGATCCACTGGCCGACGACGCCGCATTCGCGCGTTTCCTCGCGACAATGCTCCGACATGATGACGACGGGTTCGAGCCACTCGCGAAAATCCTCTATTGTCAAACGCGATATCAATTACCGCGTTGACCTTTCGCGACGCAACGGCGCGGGGCGCACGAATGAGGGATAATGCTCGCGGTGTCGTGGAGAACCTTCGATCTCGATAATAAGCGTTTAAACAAACGCGTCTTTTAGACATCGTATCATAAGACGTCTTAAAGATGTCTTAAACATACCTTTAAGACGTTTTATGTCCCGATTTTGGACATGTGTGCTGCCTGGGTTAATACGGGCGGGTTGTTCGGCATTCGCCTTCTCTTCGTCGGGAATCCTTTCCTTCCCTCGCAGTCTTCAATTCTTTTTTTATCGCGAGAAACGACGAAGGAGAGAGAAGTTCATCCTGAAACGAGAGAAGACTGTCGTAAGACGGTCTGCCGAAAATTTAGATATCAATTAACCACCGCGAGGGACATTTAGTGGGATCAGTATTTCTACGCGAAATGGTTTTGATATACATATATATATAAAACAAAAAGAGAGGAGGAGGAGGAGAGAAGTGAGTTTAGGCGATTATCGATGAAGAGGCCACGCGCGACGATGACGCGCGGCGCATCGGTTTCTTTTCCTTCGTCGCTGTAAATACGTAGACACGGGAAAAGAGAGAAGTAGATAGAACGTGTAATAACGGAAAGCGGACGCGAAACGGACCGGCCGCGGCCGGGCGGTTTTCGTTTCGGCGTCACATTGCGATGATCGACGATCGCGCGGGCTAATCTCGGATGCATTCGGAGGCGAGAATGATCGAGAGAGCGGGATCGCTTTCGAAGGGCAAGACGGATCGCGATGCACCGAGAATCAGGGCGCGCGGCATTTCGCGGTAGGATACGACGGTTCTCCGAATTGTTACACAGAAAAAAAAGAATGTTCTTGATTTGAAAATATCTTTAGTTTCAACGTGGAAATCTTGAAATGAGATTATATTGCGTTAAACTTGCTTGAATGAAGTCATTATATATAGTGCAACTCCAAGAAAAAAAAGTTGAAATTTTTATAAGAATGATTCTTGTAAGAAGATATAGACTGTTTCATATGTAAGCAACATCACTATTATAATCTTTCCATAAGAATTTCAACTTTTTGTTTCAACATTTTTTTCTTGGGGTTGCACTATATACCACCTAATGACTTCATTCAAGCAAGTTTTCTTCAAGCAAATTTAACGCAATATAATCTCATTTCAAGATTTCCACGTTGAAACTAAAAATATTTTTAAATCATTCTTTTTCTCTGTTTATAAAATTGCCTGTTCTACATGTAAGATCCACGGCGTATGTGTGTAATACCTCAGGAAGCTGCGAAAGACGGCGCCGATTTCGCGCCGCACTTTCGCGGAAAGCGTGACCGGAAGCTCCTCTCCTTTCGCCGGATCGCTTCCGCGGCGCGGGAGCGATGCCCCAACGCTAGTCGCGCGCGACGATTTGTGATAACATATATTATTATTAATGCTTGATGAATAAAATAAAGCACACACACACACACACATACACCTAGAAGTTTAGAAGAACAGCGAGACGTCGGTCGATTTTAATACTTTCCCGATCTAACGGATGGCTATTTACTCGATTCCCATGTCCACCAAGGTTGAATAGATAGAAAAATAGATCCTTTTGTAATTTCCTTGGGAAAGTGTTAACGAAGGATTAAACGAAGAATTCCGCGATTGCCACGCATTCGCGATCGAGGGGTGCATCGTCGATCATCGAACCAGATCCGCATGCAACGCGCGCGATTAAGCGAGGCAGCAATAAAGAGAGAGCGGAAGAAAGAAAGAACGAATGAGATAGAAAGAGTGTGTGCGAGCGAGCGAGAGAGAGAAAGAGAGAGAGAAAGCGAGTTTGTAAATAATAGTGTTACATTATTATTTATGTTGCTGAGTAATAGTAAATTATCTTAACGATACGTAATTTAAAGAAAAAAAGAAAAGAAACAGAGAGTGAGGATCATACACGCACGGGATATGTACATAAGTTATAGATATATCTCTCCTGGTAAGGGATACTTTACGGATAGTTATTTTTATTACTATTATTATTATTAAGTAATATAATTATATGATTATCATTATATATTATTAATTATTACTATTATTATTATTATTATTATTATTATTAATATAATTATCATTGTTATCCTTCGATCAATGATCTCAAAAGAAAACAGTAATTGCGTTCGTACGAGAATGCGGCTAAAACTTCGTCAAGAAATTTTGAAATTCATTATTCGACCAAATACGCACGAAATGGATTCTTTGTTAATGACGAAACAAGTTTCTACAAAGTTTCAAACCGAGTTTTATTTCTGGCCTACGTACTCTCTAAACATGTTTATGATAAAGTCGAGATACCTGCTTCCGGGGAGTCCTTATTTCTTTATCTGATTATTAAACTTACGCTTCTTGTGCAGCGCATTCCAAAAAAAATTGATGAAGCACAGTAATTTTCTTTCATTGCATAAGAAACATAATGTGAGAATTGATTCATTTTTTATCGCTGTACTTTTTAATTTCAATTGTTTTTAGAAATCTGTTCTCTAAGGCTGCACAGAGAGAATTTTCTTTTAACCCTGAAAATTATGATAGTCGTGGGACAACATGTATTACAAAGAATTTTATGCGAGCTATTCTGATTAATATCTACCATAATAAAAATATTAATATCTATTACAATAAAATATAAAATATGTTTGATTAATTTTAGTAAAATATATACTACAATTTCAATAATTTTTCAAAATTTACCAATCTGCTTGGTAACTTGATGTATTACGTTGTTTGTAAAATGTCTCGTATATTTTAAAAATTCCTATCGTTACCGATAATATTTGATTGGTTGCCAAGTCGTCCCAAGTTTGTAATGAATTTAACGGTAAAATATAACAAAAAATTCTCTCCGTGTGCGTTTTGATATTCACTGCCGGTACTGAAAATCTATAGTAATATGTGACATAAACTATAGATTTTCAGTACTGGCAGTGAATATCGAAACGCAGCCTAAATAATGTCGTTAATTTGCGAGCGCCGTGGGCCTATTCTGTAACTCTTAACAACAGTTTCGTTGTCGTTATATTTGCGTTGCGCAGATATTATATATAATAAAAAAAGCTGCGTATAACGACAATATAACGATAACGAAACTGTCGGTAAGAGTTACATAATAGGCCCACAGGAACGATGTTTTGCTTAATCTTTGTAACTTATTTCTATTATAAATATTAAACTGAAATTATTTGTATTTGGCTATAGCTAAATTTGAATTGTTTTTAAAAATATTTATGGAATGTATTGTAAGACTCACAGTTCAGTATTTTTGTTTCAATTCGACATCAGTTAATTAAACTGCAAATTACAAACGACATATCGAATCGTTTCGTTTCTAGTAACAGCGATGCAACGTTAGACAATTATTCATGAACATGTTTTATCGAATGAGTCAAGACATTTTTTCATGTCTTTGTATATTTTTATGCAATGTTGTAGAATGATATTGTTTCAAATATATTATACAGATAATAATAAACAAATTTATATGCAATTCTGTAGTATTATTCCTTCTTCGGTGTATACATAAATCGATTATCGATTATAAAGAAGACGTGTAGTTGCATACTGGAAATTGCATAATTTTTTTGCAAAGCAACGATATGTTTTCTTTACAATTGATTCATCATATTATTCTGTATATAAAGGGTTAAGGTACAGTTATCAAAAAATGAATAGTTTACGAGATGTTTTATATTTCATGTCAAAATGTGCCAAAATAAAATATGAAATATCTCGTAAACTATTAATTTTTTGATAACTTTACCTTAATACTTTTACATGTAGAATAATTAAAAGAATCATATTTATATGTATTTTTTTACATAATCATATGTAAAAAAAAATCAATTCTATTTTAAAATGGTGATGACCTTTATGTGATATAAAAAAATCGATTTTTTCGAAAATTGATTTCACCATTATTTGTCCCCCTTGATCCTACAACTTTTGTCTGAAACATTTTTCCGTATCTTCCGTATTTTTCGAGATATTTGCCTGGGACACTTAAATAAGACATTCTGTATAGGGGAACGGGTGGTATTTTCCGGACAGTGGGTAGCCTTGGACATTATTGAAATTCAAGTATACTGCATATTTATAGCCATTGTTTAAACATTCTGCATATGTCGAGATACGCAGAAGGGCATATTAGAATGTTTAAACAATGGCCATAGATACGCGGTATACTTGAATTTTAATAATGTCTGGGATTACCCACTCTCCGGGGCTATTCCCCGTTCCCCTATACAATTTCCGACAAATAAATATAATTATAATTACTAAAATATTATACATGAACATATCTTCTTCTACGATATAACGAATAAGAGAGGGGAGGAGAGAGAGAGAGAGAGAGGGAGGTAAGCATTTCAAAAATATTGAAATTTATATTGTGTGTATATATTTATTTTATGCTTAACATATTTCATAAAACTACATTAAATTTGACTATTTCTGATTGATCAGCTTTACACGTCCCACTCGTTACTTACATTATTTTTTATCAGTTACTACTTAAAAAATTTATATCATTATCGCGTGTTTAACATGTTGATTATCGCATCAGTCACCGGTGACGTATACGTGACTGTGTATAATATATAGCCGATAAAAAGACATGAAGAGATCTAACTAAATATTATTATAATATTATAATCCAAACTTGAATTGAGCCTTGAATTTTTATTTATTATACTTTTAATATATATATATCAATTAATATTAATAAATAGATATTAATATATTTATGTAATTCGCTAAAATAATAATAATATATATAATTATGTATAGGTATTATATCAAAATATGTTACTAATTTATACAGAGCAGGTTCGATGCACGACGTTGTATAACAATAACATACGTAAAGGGTTTAGGCGATGGTATCCGACGCATTTTTGACACTGTCCACCTCGATACAGTATACACCATCCCAAAAAAACTCGAGGCAATTATTAAAATTGGAAAGGATAAACTTGTTAGCGATAACGAGACCGAACTCGTATATAAGATTGATTGTGACAACTGTGATGCAGTATATATATCGGACAGACTAAACGTCATTTAATAACACGCATTAAAGAGCACCAAAAAGATATTAAAAAACATGAGAGCAATCATTCAGTTGTGAGTAAGCATCGTGTGTCGTGTGGTCACAATTTTGAATGGTCGGAAACCGATATTATCCATAAAGAAAAAAACACTAAAAAAAGAAAGATCGCTGAAATGTTTCTGATTAAAAAACATTCTAACACGATTAATTTAAAAAAGGACACAGAAAATTTAAATCCTATATATGACAAAGTAATTTCATCGTTATAAATATATCACGTGAACCATTGTTTATACTAACAGCCTATAATGTACATTGTCAAGTCTGGAAAACAGTACATCTCTCAACTCCGACATGTGAACACGCGTAGGTCGTCGCTCTGCGATAATATCTTGCTCCGAAATCCTTCTGTGCTCATTAACGACAGCACTTCATCGCGGTGGTCACACTCTCCTGATAAAACGTATTCTCTGCTATCACCGACTTATACGCATGTAAAAAATCTTTTGCTTTTCTTTAATTTCATACTTTTTTACTTTGCTCATTGACTATTGTTTTTTGGTCGTTCCAGCGATTAATTTTATGATCATTTCGGTTAAAATTTTCGTAAACTCAGATGTAAGTCGTGACAAAGATTAGTTTTATACCAGATATCGCTTTTTCTTTAAAATATTTTTTCTTTTGACAATTAATTTTATCTCGTTGACCAAACACTGAATTGTTTGTTATTTAGATTGCTTGAGAAGGACCCAATTCTGAGGGTCGAAACGTTGTAAAGTCGTTTCAATACATTTATTGCCAATTGTTGTCGAAAACAATAAATATTTCTGTTATCATTTTAATTAATTTTATATAATTAACACTGTACAACTACAACATAAAATAAATAACTTTTAAGTATATAAAATAAGTCAATTCCAAAAAAAATGCCAACAGTACGCGGTGTTCCCAAACGGTCACCCATTTAAGTACTAACCGCGCTCAACGTTGCTTGACTTAAGTGATCGGACGAGAACTTGTACGCTAGACGTGATTTGACCGTTGGCGAAAGTGTCTTTCTTGTGAAGTGATGATACATTTTTTTTTTAATATTTAGAAAGTTTATATGCATATGTTTTATAGAAAAAAAGTGCTTTTTTTTCGTAATATTTAAGGCTCCTGGGTAGTCACCGCGGCCATATTGAATTTCTTGCTATCGAGGCGAGAAATAACTGGAGTTGACGAGAAATTGATCAGAAGATTTTCCACAATATTACAAACGATTAATTGTGGTGAAGAAATAAATTCGGTTTTTATGCGTACAAGGCAGCGGAAATATTTATTGAAAAATATTCTTGGTACTTTATGCCAATTACCGTTCATAAAATTCTTCTTCACGGTAAGGAAATTATAGAAAATGCCTCGGAAAATGCAGCGTTACCTGTTTGGGACATTATCGGAAGAAGCTCAAGAGGCAAGAAAAAATTAAGGACTATAAACGATATCGACTTAATCATAGTAGAAAATGTAGCCGTCTGTTTACAAATGAAGATGTTATGCATATGATGCTCGTGTCATCCGATCCGTTAATAACTAGTTTAAGAAGTAAACCACATCAAAAAAATTTAGACTTAAGCGATGATCGACGCAAGAATTACTTTGCTCTTATACGTAAATTAAATGTAAATTGAATTTTTATTTAATTTCAATCAAATACTTGTTCCTATCATTAATTTTTAATAAATATACACTTTTGCAATTTTTATAAGTCAACATTGAAAGGTTCTATGATCATTCATTGCATATTTTACAAGTAACATAATTTTTTCCGCGATTCGCGCAAACGGCTCCACTGTGCGCCGCGGCCGCAGCATATCCCCTCTAACTGGCTAGTTCGGACACGAACCATTAGCACGGACGCAAACCATGTGCGGTTACCGAGCGAAACGACGTAGTTGATACGCACTTTCTCAGGCGGCGCGTCGGAAAATGTGACACAGAAAAATTGACGAAAAATGCCGGGATGGCCTCTCTCAGGTTTCTCTCTGGCATTAGATACAATGCGCATGCTCCGGAAACGTTGCTGTGATGCAAGATGCAATTCGTCTGACGTCTGACTTGTATGAGGCGTATTCATGATTATTAGCGTGTATATACTTGAAAATGGCTGCTGCCTTCAGAATTAAGCACGCTCTTAAATTAGGAAGATCTCTTTCGAGAGCGTTAAATAGGAATTTGCAAGAGAAAATAATCCAGTCGCAATGCCAACGACTACCAGGTTTGTTGGACCTTCAGTTTTATCATGTCCAATTATTTTACTTTTATATATTTTTCAATATTGTGCATTGTGTTTTGTAATTTTCCTGTGAACCTGTTTCTTTCGTGTCACGCATTTTTTGAAGTGTGTTCCATTGATATCCAGGAATATCTACACATTTTTAACTTTATTTAGTTGTCTACAATGTACGACATTGGTCGTCTCAACCAGAAGCTCAAACTACAGAGTACCATAATATTATAAAAGACACAGAGAAAGCTACAGGTAATATATTCAGTTATAATTAAAGTAATCATATATCGGAAATTATTTTCTGAGAAGAAAGAAAAATATAACAGATAAAATACTTTATTGTATACAGGTGAGTGTGCCAAGCATGAATTTCAGTCAGAGACGCAAATGTTACTGCAAATTGTTGCGAAGTCTTTATATTCAGATAAGGAGGTAATTAAATATATATATTTTTTGATAGGTTGAACATTGATTATATTGATTTATTTATTTGCTAGGTATTTGTACGCGAGCTTGTTTCAAACGCTAGCGACGCACTAGAGAAATTAAGATATCTACGTCTGAGCGACAACGAAGTTGCACAAGCGGCTGGCGACAGAAGCCTGGAGATACATATTGGCACTGACAAACAAAGTCGTACTCTAACAATCCAAGATACTGGCGTGGGAATGACTAGAGAGGAATTGATAGCCAATTTGGGAACTATAGCTCGATCTGGCTCCAAGGCAAGTACAAAGCATTAAACTTACACACATATTTTCATTTTTTTTTAATTTCAAAAAATATATATATGTATGAGTACGTTTCAAATTGTACTTAAAATAACAATTACAGTTTTAGATAATCTAAAACATAATTGAAAATAAGATATTGTCATGAACATAACTATTCTATGTATTTTATAGGCTTTTTTAGAAAAATTGAAAGAAGAACAAAACTCCAGTGACACTTCCAAAATTATTGGACAGTTTGGGGTTGGATTTTACAGTGCCTTCATGGTTGCTGATAAAGTAGAAGTATTTACAAAGTCTTTTGCGAGAGACGCAGAAGGTCTTTGTTGGATTTCAGATGGGTAAGCAATGAGAAAGGATACTTATTATTCTCCATATAATTAACAATAATATTTATATATGTATATGATATAAATACCGTATTATATAAATACCGTACCAGTGTGTAATACTATAAACAATATATTCATATGTAGATCAGGTACATTTGAGATTTCAAATGCGGACGGAGTGCAACCAGGCACAAAAATTGTTATACATCTGAAACCAGACAGCCGAGAATTCAGTGACGAATATACCATTAATCGTAAGTATATTAGCAATAAGAGTGTACACACATTTATATATATAGTTTTATATATATTTAAAATAAAACATAATTAATCCGTTCAGGTATTATCAACAAATACAGTAATTTTGTCGGCAGTCCTATTTTTGTGAATGGAAAGAGGACTAATACGATTCAGGTATAATCAATTATAGTTTTCTTACACATTCATTTTATCTGCATTCTATAATCTACTATAATTTAAAAAAATATTTTTTCCTTTACAGCCATTGTGGATGTTTGACCCGAAAGATGTCACGTCGCTGCAACATGCAGAATTTTATCGATTCGTAGGAAATTGTATTGATTCACCAAGATTTGTGCTACATTATTCGACGGACGTGCCGTTAACTATCAAGGCTCTGTTATACTTCCCAGAGGAAAAGCCTGGATTATTTGATCTGGCGAGAGATACTACCAGTGGAGTGTCGCTTTACAACCGGAAGATTCTAATTAAAAGCAAAGCGGAGAATATCTTACCAAAATGGTTACGTTTCATTAAAGGCGTAGTAGATTCGGAAGACATACCATTGAATTTAAGCCGCGAACTACTACAAAATAGTACATTGATTGGGTAAGAATAAATATTTGATATTGATATCGTTTATTACTATATACGATATATAAACGCTCATATAACATTTTGATAGGAAATTACGAACTGTGCTGACTGCACGTATACTAAAATTCCTACATGAGCGATCTATGAAGCAGCCGGAAGAGTATAATGAGTTTTACAAGACCTATGGCTTGTTTTTAAAAGAGGGCATTGTAACTAGTAATGATCAGTCTGAAAAGGTAATTAATTACATTCCATATAAGTGTCTATAAAATATATTGATTCATTAATTTCGTATTTTATTGTAGGAAGATATAGGCAAACTTCTGCGATTTGAATCTTCTGCTGCTGCTCCGGGGGAATTAGTCAGTCTGCCGCAATATTGCAGCCGTTTAGCGAAAGATCAAAAAGATGTATATTATTTGTCAGCGCCAAGGTACAGGAAATATAATCTGGATAAGTCGTACTAATGTTTAACCAATGATCTGCAAAAGTCATAATTTATGTTACAGCCGTACTCTAGCCGAGCAATCGCCGTATTATGAATCTTTAAAGAAACGAAATATTGAAGTTCTCTTCTGCTATGAACCATATGATGAATTAGTATTAATACATTTGAGACAGTATAAATCTAACTTTTTGACATCTGTGGAGAAAGAAATGCGGGATGATACGGAAGCAAATAAACCAGAAAATTTAGGTATATAATAAATTTTACATATTTGTAAATTTTGTAATTAGGATTTAATCAGAAATAACTCTAGTGTCATATCTTTTATACAGGTATTATAAATAAGGATGAACTGGATAACCTTGTAAACTACATGAAGAAGATTCTCGATAAAAAAGCGTACGATGTTAAGATGACGAATCGTTTAGAGTCACATCCTTGTGTTGTAACCGTTCAAGATATGGCAAGCGCGAGGCACTTTATTCGCATACAGAGCCATCAAATGAATGAAGAGATGCGATATTCCATGCTTCAACCGCGCTTTGAGATAAATCCAAATCATCCTCTTATCAAAAAGTTGTGTAAACTAACAACTACCGATACCGAATTAGCTGATCGCCTAATACAACAGGTGCGTGGTAATAAAAATATTTGAATGCTTTGATTCGTCTTTTAAATATGTTATGACAACAAATTATTTATCATTGCAGTTGTTTACCGGTGCCATGGTCGGAGCTGGTTTAATTGAAGATCCACGTATATTATTGACACCAATGAATGAATTACTTACCTTAGCATTGCAAAAATATTAAGATATAGAAAAATGGATTATGGATATGGATAATCAATATTGTTCTATGATTTAGAAATAAAAGAATATTCTCTTTTATATCTATACATATATATTTTTTCTGCGCTTCCATATCATAGAAGAAGATTGAATGTCCCAAGATATCATAAAATACCAACAAATTATCCGTTTCATTATTCAATAAGAATATCGATAATTGCGAATAAAGGGGTACAACTTATTGTAGGCAAGATTGGTTTCTTTATTACAATAGGTTGATCTTGTACAAATTAATTATAGCCTTACAATAATAACAAGTCAAGTTCCTCATTTTCTTAAAAGATTTCATGATATCGATATGTATTCTATTAGCAGGGCTAGATGTTATGGCGAATTTAGAAATTGTACCCATGTTTCCCATGTTTTTTTTACGATCTATGGTTTTAAAAGTTGGACACTCAAAACTGTTTAGCAAGCAATAAATAATTTTATAAAATTATTTTATATAAAATACGTAAATATTTGATAAAATTATTTATTCCTCACTCTTAATTTTTCGAGAACATAACTCGCGAGTAAGTAGGCCTGAAGCAATAAATAATTTACTGAAAATTATATGTACAAACCATTTATATATGCTTTCAATCAATTCTGTACTACGTAACTATGAAAAGAAATTAATAATGATCACTTATTATGTTATTAATTTATCAGTTGGGAAATTCTAAAAAACGGGTTTTTGTGATTTTTGTATAAGATCACTAAATGATTCATATACTATTTATAAAAAGTCCGCTGTCACATTTATATCTTCTACTTTACAGTCTTTGACCAATGTGCTTCATCGTTTCTTTTTTTTTTTTTTTTTAATAAAACTAATCTATTAGATGTGTTATATAATATTTATTCGTGCTTCATGTTACTCACTGAAATTTTATATCGCTTATCATTTTTACCGAATTGCAATCGGCGAAATCAATTCTATTCTCTTCATCTTTTTTTATTTGATTTTAATATAAAATCATTAAAAAATTTTATTATACGAACGTTAATGTATGATCTTCTAAAATTTCAGAAAGTAGAAGCACAGTCGATTTTAACTTATACAAGGACGAGAGACGATGCTTTTACTCTTGGTCATAACATAAAAATCACCCTGTTTAGCATTATTATTAATATGATTCGCTAATGTTATCCTACCAAACACGAGCAGGATAGCCTGGCATCCTTTACAGAACAGGAACATAAAATCGAATTTCTCAACAAAATTCTACGTGTATAAAAGAACATGTATACCTCACCCAAATAAGCTGCCGCTATACAATATCCATTAATGAAAAAGTATTCTAAATGGAAGTGTGACAATGAGAAAAAACCTTAGACGCGTAATAGATTGTTCCTTGATATTCTTCTATCTCTTTTATACAAATTAATCGAAGGAAATGCATTGCTTATATGGCATTAAGAATTAATTGGCAGTTTTAAAAAGTATTCCATTATATATTATATGGAGTTTCCTATGATGAGAGAATACATGAGATGCGAATGGCAGATTGGTAAAGGGCGCGATGAGGTGAATTACCTCGCGCCGCTGAGCAGTCTTATTAAAGAGTAGATAGACGATAAAGCGTGATGTAAATAGTAGCACCATGTATGCAGATTCATCGGTCGTACTGATGGTGGCTGACGAATAAAGAGATAAGAAGAAAAAAAATGTTAAATAAACGGAACGTTGACTTAGCTTACGTATACACGGAGGAGGACGTCGCCCCTTCCATCGCACTTCATCTTTTTTTCTTAAATTTGTTATAAAACGTTGGGTAATTAACATTGCAATTATTATGATACAAGTCATAGTATTTGATCATCGTATAAACATTATTATCATCACAGTAAAAATATTTCATATATTCTTTTTTAACTATTAACCTGTGCAATAAACACGTGCACAGTCGCGCACATGTCCACTCCGTAACGCATGGAGGAGGCTGTTCTTTTTTTTCACTAGAGTCCATTTACTTACACGCTAATCTGCTATTTCTTACTTAATATATGCATTATTAAGTAGTCCGTCGGTTCTCATTTATACGTAACCAAAATAAAGTCAGTTAGCAAATAGTAAAAATACACAAATGTACCTATGTATCTTTTGCACTGGAATTATATAGTTGTTGGATTAACACGTTAAATTTAAACGATAGGTCATTAAACAATAGTCATTGGTCTGACGACACGGTCGTGATTAGCTTTACTTTTCTCGAGTAATGAATTCCTCCCTTCCTTAAGATAATTTCTTACGCATATACGCGTACTCGTAGTTGCCACAATCTATATTTTTTTTCTCTAATAAATCTCATCTCCTTGGTAGAGTCAAAAGGAATATTTTCAAACTGTTGCAGAAATGAAATAACATTAAGAATGCGTGCAGTGTGTAGCGTTATCTAATAAGCATCTATTATGCATTTTTCTTTTTGATTAAGCAAATAATGTATATTTATAAAGCATATTAATATCTTGCAATCAGAAGAGGAAATATGGCTTGAAAGTAGAAAAATATACGAGAATTGTATGTTCAGATATCTATTTTTCTACCATCAAGCCATAAAATTACGTCAATCTATATTTTTGGATTCTACATATGTGTATATATTACTACAAAAAAATATATATATGATGCATCCGATAATGAAATAAATAAAATATGACACGACGTACGCACTGCTTGCAGTTGTAGGACATATAACTATATTCGCTGTTAGTTTGCAGGATTAAGTACGCTGATGCTTGAACTCTACCTGTGTAGGAGGAGATTTGTGAGGCGTGATGTATTTCCGCGACGGTATACATCGTACACGCGACGTGCGTGCAGAACACGCCGGTGGCTCGCACAAACGGGCTTCCTTACTTCATAGCTGCCTGTACAGACTGTCTTACTTCTCTACGACGATATAACGCTCTATGTACAAAATTGCATATATTCACAGACATCATCCGCGCATCTCAATCATAGAAGCACAGAGAAACACGCTCTCGCACGCTTCAGTCTATCCGCGTACTTCGGCACCACCGTTCGTCACACTGAGGTCTGCGTGATGCCGTTCCCCGATAACCACAGGCGCCCGTTGCTCTTCTGATCCGCGATCTCGTACTCGGAATCATCGATCTCGCAAAGATTCGTGGAGAGATCGCTATTGCTTGCGCCGCCCAATAGCGAGTTTCTTTCCTCCAGCGTGGTGATAACGGAGCCGATCTCGTCCTCCTCGATCACCTTGTGGCATCGGTTACGGCGGGTGCTCGGAAAACCATAAGGCACTACGTCGTCTTCTTCCTCGTCGGACTCGAGGGTGCTGAGACGGCCGTTGAGCGGATTCGTCTCATTCTCCGTGTCGGTGTGAATATTGTAATGGGGCAGGTACGAGTTCGGGTGACGCAGATAGCTCTCGGAGCTCTTGTACTTGTAATCCCCCTCACCGCCGCTGTCGAGGGGGTTCAGACGCTGCGTCTCCGCGCAATGATACTGCTCCGAGAACTCGGTCCCGCACTCGGAATCGCCGACGTATTCCGATTCTTGATCTTCGTTCAAGGTCTCGATGTCCCTCGTTGGATCTATCGGACCATGCACTATAACATAATCGCGAATGTTACATTTTTACACAGGACCGTGTTACGTATTGTAAAAAAGTTTTAAATTGTTGTAATTAATGTTGTTAGTAGAATAACAAACGGGTCCGAAAAATGTACATATGATGTTACATGATCACATATTTCGTCATGCGTAAATATTGACGTGGTTAATTATGGTATTAATTCGTTAGTCTCCATTATTTTTTGTTATGTTACAATGTTGGTATTAAATTTATCGATTCTACAATCTTCATTAAGCGTAGAGGATGTGTGTTACAAACAAAACTACTAGATTTATTGTAATAATCTAGCAAGTTTTCTATCAAATAAAAAACATAATATAAAATATTATAATTGTGATGTGAATAAAATTAACAAAACAAACTGTCAAACATCACACTCTAATCATGCCGATGCGGGAAGAGGTGAATCAATGCGCATGCACCTCTGTACTTACTTATTGGTAATTGATGAGTATTGGACTCATTACTCTCATTGCTATGGAAGCTGGACGAGTCTGGGACCTCGCTGCCAGGTACTTCCGTAATGTTAGGCAAGGGATTCTGACTCGGTCTGACCCAGTCTGAGCAGTCCCAGTGATATCCTAAAAGCATTGCAGACAACGACTGTACTCTGACACGCTACATGCGATGCAGCATAAGTGATGTGCAGATAAGTGAAAGGCAGAGATGGTGCGAGGGCAAATAGTAGCACTCGATTGGAGACAGATAGCGCAAGCGAAGAAGCGAAGACCCAAAGATGTATACCGAGTATCCTAAGATCGCATTTCGGCTACAGCAGCTTCTGGTAAGTAAAATTTTATTACTAGCCGTCGATGATATATCTTCAAATTTTCAACATCCGAATTGTTATCTTACGCCAGCAAAATGCCAACAGGTGTCTTCAATTTCTAAGTAAGAGACAATAGGCGATTCGCAGGACACTCTGTATCTCGAGCCATACGAGCGGGCTCTCTCGACTTACCGCCGACGATGCGAGGATCATCCTCGATGGACGTGACGGAGGCGACGGAGGACCCAACCGCGTGAGGCGTCCGTCGAGAAGAGTTTAGTAGAAGTCCTCCAGTGGTCAGCTCTGGTACCACTGGGCTCGCTCGTTTCAGGTCTGTTAGTGCACACAACACGAAACACGCCGGTGTTAATAGAATAATCAGCTACGCAATAACGGGGAGGTTGGGAGAGGAAAGGAAAAGAGAGAGAGAGAGCCGCGAGTAAGAGAGCGAGACAAATTGAAAGGAAAGTTTCGTCAAGAAGAATGATAAGAACGGGGAAGCGCCTAGTGCTCCACCCCTTACGATCGCATGCCACAAGCGAAATCAAAAGTAAAAAGCTATCCGGACGGAGCCGGAAGGGATTGGTTCTTCTTTCACTGACGCGGAAGTGGACCACTCACCGTTCTTGATCTTAGTCGTGTCCGTTATGAAGGAAGCCAGCTGCATCTGCTCTTGCCAGGTGGGCTTGTGTAGACTGTCCGTGTCGCTGCCAGTTGCGTTTCCGCCGACCGGATTAGCGAGGGTCAGGGACGGGGGTGGTACGGGAGTGCTGCGATTCAGATTCCGCAGGTAATCCGGCGGGAAGTTCTCTAGCTCGTCGCCCGCGCTACCGTAGCTGCGCAGGGTGTCCAAGTTATTTAGAGCCACCGCCGCCGTGTTACCGTACGTGGCAGGCTCGTTGTTCGAGCTCGGGGTGTAGGAGGCGGGTCTGGGAGGGCATTGGGGAGGTTCTCTCTGCAAAAAGAAGAATCACACGTAGAACCACATCCCTTAAAATGGGATCGCCGCGACGAGGGCACGGGAGGGAGTGTGTACCACGTCGGCAAACCAAAAAACGCATCGCAAACGAAAAATAAAACAGCATTAATGTCGATTGCTAAATAGCGATTAAATACCACAAAGAACTGAAAGGCATTACATCGATAATCGTGAGCGAAGTTTCTTAAAGTAGCTCTCATTGTGTACGCATTGTGGATGTTGAAATAACGCCTTCGAGTAAGTGTATGTGTTGGCCCTCGAGAGTTCATGCTTTTACAGTAGACCTGACGAGGATAGTCAATCCGAACATTAGTAGTACCTGTATGACTTCCAGATTGCTCAGTTTCGAACTGCGCTTGAACTCGTGCTCGTGCGGCCTCGCGGAATTCAGGACGATCTGCTTCCGCGTCTCGTTGTTGATGTTGTTGGCGCGCGTCCTGGTTCGCTTCGTCCGTATCCGCCAGAAGGCGACGAATATGATGATGAGCAAGATGTTGAGCAGCACCGCGATCCCGATCCACATGAGATGGTCCCACGGGATGTTGAAGTGGCTGGATATGATGGGCGTGGAGAAGGCCGGGTTGCCGCAGTTCAGGCCGGTCATGTTCGGCGGGCAGATGCATCTGTACGTGCCGATCTCGTTGACGCAGGTGCCGCCGTTCGTGCACGGACTCGCGTCGCACTCGTTTATGTCGGTCTCGCAGCGGTCGCCCGCGAAGCCCTGGCACTTGCAGATCGGGCCGTTGTTGCCCTCCTCGCACACGCCCCCGTGGCTGCACGGGTTCGGGCTGCAGTACCTGCCAAACTCGCAACGTTTGCCGCTGAGACTCGGCCCGACGCACTCGCAGACGTAATCACCGCCCTCCGGAACGATTTTGCAACGGCCGCCGTAGAGGCAGGGCGAGGAGGCGCAAGGGTCCGTGTCGATTTCGCAAGCTAGACCGGCGAACCGGCTGTGACACTGGCACTCGTAGTTGTCGCTGCCCATGTCCTTGCAAGTGCCGCCGTTCTGGCACGGCTGCGAGCCGCAGACACCCGGCGGCACCAGGATAGTCGCCGTGTCGCAGCTGAACTCGACGTTGGCGAATCGCTTGAGAATCGCTACGCTGCTGGCGCCGCTCATGTGCAATGGCACGGACACTCGGGCGATTCTGACGTCGTCCATGCAGCCGACGAAGCCGCGTTGCACGTCCTCAAAGCCGATGATAGACGGATGCTGCCTCACCTCCGCGCCCAGATACAGATCGTCCGATTGCAAGTTCAGGATGTCATTGATACCGGGTGCGGAACCGTGAGCGATGTGTTTTCCATCTACGGTTAGCCGGGCACTGTTGCTCTCCCGCTCCAGCTGGATCTCGTGCCATTGTCCGTCGCTCACGTACACGCTGCTCACTCTGACCAGCCCCTCGCCGCTGCCCAGATCGAATTTGTACTGCATCACGCCGTTAACGATCTCCAGAATGTTGTAGTCCACCTTACCGGCCGCGTACATGAGGTTGCCGGTAGGCTGCATCGTCCTGATTCTCAAAGATAAGCTGAGACGATCCTCGATCGTTTGCCGTATTAGCGCCTTGTCGATCTTGTAGCGCGCGTAACTCTTGCCGCTGAAAGATATGGGATTTCGCGGAATGTAACACGACTCGTCATGGCATTTGGAAATATCTATGTCGCAGGTCTGACCGGCGTATCCCTCAGGGCACTGGCACGAGTATCCTTGAATGGAAGAGTCCGGCACGCAGACTTTGAACAGAGGACAGGGATCCCTGGCGCACTCGTTGACCACTACTTCGCAGTGACTGCCGGCATATCCCTCCTTGCAATTACACTCCATCTTGTGTTTGTGCCGCGGCGACACGAAGCTCATCACATCAGTGGACACAGGCGTGATTTGCGTAGGATCGAGAGTGATCTTGTCTTGACAGTCGCCGTAGAAGCAGTAACCTTTGTTGCACTTGAAGCGGACGATCTCTTCGACGACCAGCTTCGTCGACTCCTCCAACTCCTCCACGTGCTGGTTCAACGCTTCGCGTATGCTCTCCGACGCGTAGAAACCCGATGAACCCGCGGGATTCGCCGCCTTCTTCACGGCGAACAGAAGATCGAGATCGTTGTGCACCGCCTGGCGAATCGCCCGCGACTTGATCAGGTTCGCCTCATCGGTCGATGGTTGCACGCTGATAATGACGATGTCCTTGAGTCGGCAATTCATCGCGTTTCGAACGGTTCTGACGAAGCCCTTGCGATGGCTCAGCATGAAATCTTCCGGGCTGACCTCTCGAAATCTCACGATCACTGAATTTTCGAGCATCTTGTCGGTCACCAGATCGATGTTAACTTTTACGATCGAGCACGAGTGGAACTTGCCGTCCGTCACGCTAACGTTTATCCTATATTCGCCCACGTCGAGTCTAGGCAAAGCCACTAACGTGCCGTCGATCTTGTCTATCTGGAAGAGATCGGTGCTCGGGATCGGCGAGGATGGCACCAAACTGAAGAGAAGCGTGTCGTATTGATCCTGATCGGTCGCGTGGACTTTTCCGATAATGCCACCTGGATACTCGTCCATGTAAGAATTGATAATCACTTCGAGAGGCGTGATTACTGGTGGATACTGCGATTCCTCGATCACCTTGATTACAACCCACGCGTCCGAATACAATGGCGGACTGCCATTATCGAACACTCGGACATGCAACACGTACTTATCCTTCACTCGGTTGTTAAATTTCGTCGCCGTTCGCAAGGTGCCGTCCTGCTCCAGTCGAAACGCGTCGCCTTCGTTGCCGGAACGGAAATCAAAGGTGTACGGCTCGGCATTCGGCTCGATGTCCGCGTCGGTGACGACGAATTGCAAAACCGTATGGCCGAGTGGTTTGTCCTCCTGCACAACAGCCGTGTAATTTGGCATGGAAAACAACGGCGGATTGTCGTTCGCATCCAGGACCTCGATGTTTACCATCACGAAGCTCGAGAGCATCGGAATGCCGTTGTCACGCGCATGAACTTCCAATACGTAGCTCGCAATCTAAAAAATAAAGTGGAACGTTTAATAGAGTATTGCGTTTATGCTTATATCTGTAATGTATTGTATTCGACACTAACTTCTTCTCGGTCCAAAGGAGCGGCGACCATTATCTGTCCGGTTTTTCTGTCGATGGAGAACTGCTTCTGTCTGTCGCCACGTTCTATATAATACGACACGTTGCCATTCTCCTCGCTATCCAAATCATTCGCGTACACCTGAGACGTCAGTAAAATAAAATATTTTAGCAACCAAGTACCTACATATAGTTTCGCGTTACATAAAATTGACTTTCTATTAACAATTATTTACAATTTTGTGTATTATTTGTTGCATAGTACAAACAATTATATAGCATTACTTGCAAAGTTATTGTAATAATTAATAGACGAACTAAATCGAGAAGTTGAATTTAATTCCCGCATGTAAGAAATTTTATGTGGAAAAATATTATTCCACAGTAATATGAATCAAAAATAAATCCCAAGGATAATTGAATAATAAATCAATCAAGGATAATTGAATAGTAAAGAAGACCTGAGAGAAACTCACTTGCGTAACTTTCTCCCCATTTTTCGCATCTTCTCTCACGAAGGCTCTGTACGAAACTTCGCTGAAAATCGGCGCGTTGTCGTTGCTGTCGGTGACGGTGATATTGACAGTAGCGTGATTGCTTAGCGGCGGGATACCTCCGTCGACAGCTTGGATAGTGAGGAAGTAATCGCGAGCCCGTTCATAGTCCAGCTGTTCGGCGATGGTCAAGACGCCCGTCTTGGCGTCTATTTGGAACTTCTTGTGCTCATTACCACCGACGATCGAATAATATATATCAGCGTTCACCCCTGTATCCTTGGAGGTGGCGAGCACTCGTGCCACTTCGGTACCAACCGCGTAAATCTCAGGCACTTTCGCGAAGTAGAGCTTAGAAGCGAATTCTGGCGGATTGTCGTTGATGTCCTGCACGTTAACGATGAGAGAGGCGACCCCCATTAGCTGAGGGGTGCCCTGATCGAGTGCCTGAATAGTAACATTGTACATGGCCTTCGTTTCTCGGTCCAGTGGCTTGGCCAGCGTGACTATTCCACTGTCCGCCGCGATGAGAAAGTGACCGTCCGCCGAATCGATAAACTCATATCGGATCTTCCGATTGATACCGATATCGTTGTCCGTAGCGTGTACCTTCGTCACTAACGTGCCGATCTCCACATCCTCGGGCAAAGTACTGCTGTAAGTTGACATAGTGAATTTCGGTGCGTTGTCATTGAGATCGGAAACGAGAATCTCCAGCTGCGACGAACACTCCCAAGTTGGCTTATCCCGGTCCTGCACGTGGGCCGTCAAGGAATACTTAGCTTGAGTCTCTCGATCGAGTTGCCCAACGGTTTTCAGCACGCCCGTTTCCTTGTCTAACGAGAATTTGTCGTTATTGTCGCCAGTTAAGTAAAACCGTAGCTTGGCGTTCGGCTCGTCGTCATAGTCGGTGGCCAACACGGTCAAGACATAGGCGCCAGGATGCGAGCCCTCGGAAAGTATTTCTCTGTAACGGTATCTGAGGCAATACGGCGGATTATCGTTGACGTCCAAGACTTGCACCGTTACTTTCGTTTCAAAAACGTATTTTCCATCGGTACCAACGATCTGAAGCTCGTAACGATCAATGGTCTCTCTGTCCAAGGATTTTGCCACGTACACCTCGCCGGTAGATCTGATTTGAAATTGCGACCTAGGATCGCCGGATGTTATATAAAATTCTATCGGCGTATTGACATCTGTGTCTTTATCGACGGTGATCAATTTCACCACGACCGTTCCTGGTAAAGCGTCCTCGTTCACCGTAGCCTCGTAACGATCGTCGACGAACGCGGGCGAGTTATCGTTATAATCCTTTAACTTGACGTGCACCGACGTCCTCGCGAAGTGTTTCGGATTTCCATTGTCAGTGGCAACCACCTGAAAAAAAGGATTGTTGTATGTACGAGTGTCTAACATATTCTTTTAGAGATACATTCAGAATATTTAGCACATTGCATTTATTTTACCTGAAACTTATACTCTGGTTGTTTTTCCTTGTCGAGCTGTACCAACGTCGATATCCAACCGGTGTAGGCGTCCACCGTAAAAACGTTCGCTAATTCCCCTATGTCGGATCCGAAGGAGTAACGTACTTCACCGTTGCTACCAAGATCCTTATCGTGCGCAATGACTTTCAATATCGACGTCCCCTCCTCGATGTTCTCGGCCAAACTGATCGCGTACGGATTGCTCTCGAATTTCGGCGCGTGATCGTTCTCGTCCAGCACTTGAAGAGAGATCTCGGCGAGAGCTGTGAGCGGCGGGCTGGAATCTGTTTCAGCGAGAACCCCAATCAAATGACTGTCTTTCAACTCTCGATCCAACGGTCTCGCCAGAGTGATCTGGCCGTGAGAGTCGATCGTGAAGAGCGGATTATCCTCATCGCCGGACACTATGCGGTATGTCACAGTGCTATTTGTGACGGTCTTGAGTTTTGTGATCGGCGTCCCGACGGAAGAGTCCTCTCTTACAAAGAATTTATCTTCTTTTCGCTCAAATAGAGGCGGGATATCGTGGGAACCCATTATATAAATACTTAGCGGAACATCGGCGTGGTGCGTGGTCGTGCCTTTGTCCTCCGCGCGAATAAACAATTCGAACAGTTGGTTTTCTGAAAGTAAACAAATATTTATTTGTCATATGAAATCTTTAAGACGGATATCGCATTAATTTTAATCATAGCATAAAGGTAAAGTAAATATGTCTCTTACCCCACGGCACAGCGCTCTTCTGTAGATAGAGAGATCCCGTATCGGGATTTATACCGAACAAAGATCTAGCCGGCGACGTTTGCGGTTCGTAGATGGAATACACGATCTTGGCTGCCTCATCCTCGTCCGCGTCCTGCGCCCTGACTTTCAGGAAGGGCGTGTTCAAGGACAGATTGCCCTGGATAGTCGCTTTGTATTCCCTGATAAGGAACACCGGCGCGTTATCGTTCTCGTCGCCTACCTTAACGCGCACCATCACGAACCCGGATCTACCACCACCGTCCATCGCCATGACCGGTATCTCGTAGCGCTTCTGCTCCTCCCGATCGAGCTTCTTACGCGTCACTATCTCGCCGCTGAGCTTATTTATGTCAAACACCTCCTTCATCATCTCCGATATTATCGCGTACGTCACCGTGCCGTACTCGCCGAAGTCTTCGTCCACGGCCAGCACGCTGGTGACCAGTCTACCAGGTAACTGGTTCTCCAGGACGGTCACCTCGACCACCGGGTTCGGGAATTTCGGATTGTGCCTATTCGCGGGCAGAATCTCGATCTTGACGCGGGTGAAGCTGGTGTAGACGCCGTCGGTGACGGATACATTGAGCATGCTGAGTTTTTGCTCGCCAAAATTCTGCATGTTTATCAGCGAAATGATGCCGGTCGACTGGTCGATGTTATACGTCTGCTGTTCGTTTCCACCTACGATGGTGTACGTTAGCTTTTCGTCGACGTAGTCGGGATCGCTGGCCGACACCACCGTCACGAATTGACCACGCTCGGCGTGTTCCGACAGGGAACAGGTGTACGAGGGCTGCTCGAACTTGGGCGGATTGTCGTTCATATCGATCACGCTCACCCAGACGTGCGCCGTGCTCGACAGACTCGGCACGCCGCGGTCCATGGCGATCACGGTGAAATGATGGGACTCACGGCTCTCGTGATCCAGAGATCGCTTGAGAAATATCACCCCCTCGTCCGGATCGATGTGGAAGAGATCCGTGCTGTCCTCGGTGTCATTTTGAATAGCGTAACGAACTTGTTGATTGATGCCTGCGCAAAAATGAATATGGATATGACAAAGATATCAGCTTTTTCCAAATTTCATCCATATATGTATAGAAACCAGGGGAGAGATAATCCGATTTTCAGCGCGAAGCTTAGAAGTTTGATTTCACGCTTACCCGTGTCATTGTCTCTGGAGCTCACTCGTAGAACGGGGGTTCCGAATACCGCCGCCTCCGATACCGAGATATTGTAGGAGTCCTGGGTGAATTCGGGCGGGCAGTCGTTCACGTCCAGGACGAGGATGCTGACGAGCACCTCCGCGTAAACGCCTGACACGCTGTCGGTGGCGCGCACGGTCAGCTCATACTGCTTCTTTTGCTCATAATCCAGCTCATCCACCACATAGATTACACCTGATTTATACGAAGAAAAGATTGTAGACCCAAAGCACATACTACGCAGCGGAGTGTCTACGTATCCGTCAAAGGAGCGGTGATCTTTTTGAAAGCGAGTGCGTATGGGAAATTAATATATTCTGTTGATACTTAACTTTTATATTATCGCCATTTTGATTTCACAATTATTGGAATTTGGTGAATTTAGAATCACCTAAATTTACAATGTAAAATTATGTACAGGGTACAGGAGAAAAACGATCAAAGTCCACTTCTTGTCGAAATTGATCTGATAATGTTATCTTGTGGCATTTTTAAAAAACTTTCATAATTCTTATCTTCTATTTTTTGATCACGTTTTGATAAAAAAAAATTACAATTCACTGGAAATAAGGCCGAAAGGTGTTTTCCCGTGCTAGGGAAAAACGATTATAGTCCACACGCTTGTGAGAAAAAAACCAACATACAATATAAACACTAAGTAAATAATATGCATTTCAATACTTTTTCCAATAGCTTCCTAAGATATCTGATGTTTTGAAACTTAAAATTACGTTTTTCTCGAGATTTCTCCGGATAGACATTGATCGTTTTTCCCCTATATCCTTCACATAAATTTGCGATATTAATTCGACAGATCTGTAGACACTGGAAGACGTGAATAAATGCAGTCACGCGTGTAATCATGTTTACATAAAACGTCAGAGATTCCATGTATGATTTGCCAATGCCTGGTAATAATGCCTGCACCTCTCGAGAGATAAATGTCAAAATTTTACATCGCGACTGCATCACTCTGATGTATCGCGGTGTTCTTATTAAATTAATTCCGAAATAATCTAGAAAATGAAATAGATAATAATAGCGTATCTGCCTTACGTAAGGTGCAGGCACGACATGCGAGCAGGTTGAAGCTATTGAAATCTCGTGAAGAAAATGAAAATGGGTGGGCCGCACGTTCACATCACAGGCGAAATATTTATGATGTGTCTAGACTGGCCTCGGATCGTGGAACGATAGTGCGTGTAAGCGGCTATTGTGTTCCAAGCCGGTGTTTCGTGTGGTTCCATCGCGATTACAATTTAATGAGACCCGCCCAGATTACGATCGTGGAAAAACAGGGAGTGGGAACAAAATTAATTTTGTGGATGTGATGTACACGACCAAAGCGGTTTATATTTAGGAGAGGAGAAGGCTCTCTCGAAAGCAGATATTGTAATCTTTTTAATTGAAAGGCTCAGAAAACTTCATCTTCGTAAATGTTAGCCTGTCGCGAGAGCGTGCAACAAGCTTTTACGGCTTACGCTACAAGCTAGCAAACTATGTCAATAATTCGGAACGTTTATCTTTTATTGTTACTTTCATTGTAGCATGTATCGTGCGATTAATACGTTTAATTAAGTGTTACGGACAATATGCAATAAAATCAAAATTAGTTGGTGGAAATTAAAAGATGTGAAAAAATAAACATAAAACTAAACATGCCGTATGTAATTTGAGAAATATGAGAAATATATCTTACACAAATTTTGTAAAGGTGATTGATGCATTCATTTGTAGCAGTGAATATATATATATACACACACACACACACACACACACACACGCACGCACGCACGCGCGCGCGCGCGCGTGTGTGTGTGTATGTGTGTGTCTATTCACATATATATACATATAGTTTCTGTAATAATGATATAACCGAAAATAAAATAATTCTTCGTGAAAACAAAGCTCTGTATAAAAAAATTTTATTCTACATCTTTGTCTTAGTTTTTCATAAAGAATTCTTTTATTTTTGATTGCACCACTTCAGAAACACAATGTATATTACGTATGTTTTAAGAGAGAATAGATTGCACATGTCGGCGTGTTGTTATGGTAATTGCATAAGATAATTGAATAATTTGCATCGATCAAAATGTTAATTGGAAATTCAATCAAGCACTGCAGCAATTGATAGGCGTATATATATTCTGAATTGTTAATTACATTTTCTATTAAAAGTTTAAGATTAAATTTGCGATTTCATATTGAGAATAACATGACAGCAATCGATTGTTTAAATGTGAATCTAGAAATGACTGACTTCGTTCTTTAAACGTCTATATAAGATATCACCGGAGTAGAATTATAATAGATGTATAAAACATCTTTAAATTAAGAGCAAGTAAGAAATTCAAATCTGAAAGTTCTACATTGCATTCGATGCTATCGAATCAGTAATACAAGCCGCTCCCGATTTAATTATTGAATCTCAGATTTATCCAAATTCAATTTCGTTGTTCGCGCATTGTTTTAATCTATTCGATCCAACTGCAGTGATTTGCCTGTGATATTACATCGTGCATGAACATAGAGCGGTGTATGACATAGCGTAGCAACACAGCATAAGACCGATAGAACTAGAATTTTTTTTTATACTCACAAGGACCATTGTTACTGTCGGGGGCTGCGAAACAGGGAGATACAACAAGACTTTAATCTCTAGTTTCCAGACACAAGCAGTTGTAAGAAATACATATGGAACAAGTATCATGATCTGAGTACAATCTACTACGAAAAAGTAACCATAAATACGAAAAACTACTAAAAAATATATAATCGAAAAATATATTCGTTGGAAAGCCAAATAAAGATTAAATAAAGAAAAATAGAAAATAAAATAACGTAGAATCGGCGCTAACTAATTTAAATTTTAAAATGTCTGTAAAAATATCTAAAATTTTAATATTTCATGATTAAAATTATAACAGATTAAAAATATTATGTTTCATCGATTTGTCCATCTTCCCCTAATTTCACCAATATTGTTATGCGATTAGAACTTAGTAACCAACTACCATAATGCAGCAAAACTGACAAGTTTACTAAATATAGCCATACTAGCAATATATCATAAGAAACCCTTTTGTTTGAATAGTGTAAGTCCCATAGCCAAGTTACGAAATAAAAAGGGGAATTTTTTATTCGGGTTCATGTCTGACATATTCATTTCAATGTAACGTTTATATATTTTCACTTAAAAAAAGGCTCTGAATATGGAACATTTTCACCATTTTATTGACTAAAAAAAATCTTTAAATAGGTTTATGATATTTCTTGCTGCGCAACTAATAGGAAACAACATCGCCAATTCTTATATGCTTCTACTTTTTCACTGTATCATACAACTTTTACGTTACTATCTCATACGAAATTATTTACTGGTGTAGAGTTCTCATTTTTCATCTGATAGCGCATGCCCGAGAATTTATGTTGCGTATATTTTATTTTACTTACCCGTGTTGAAGTCCAGGGCAAACTCCTCAAAATCATTGCCCTTAGTAATGCTGTATATGAGTTTGCGATTCAGAGGTGACTCAGCTTGAATGGATAACGCCAGAGGTGAATGTACTTCTATACTCTCGAGCACGCTATCCGTGTAGAATTGCTTGTCAAATACTGGCATCGAGCGATCTATCACCTTCACGTTGACTGGCACCTCAATAGAACAAGGCGTTATTCCTGCAATCATATTTAGAAGTTCATTTAAAACGGGCTTAAGCGGAAAGCAGAGTTATTGACTTTAACAAACTCACCGCCGTCATACGCGGCGATCGTAAGCTGGTACTCGCGATTGTGACCTTCGAGATTCTGTTTTAACGATATTTCACCGGTTTTCCGGCACACCTTGAAAAGTTCCCCGTGACCCTTCTTCAATTCGTATCTCACCTCGCCGTTATCGCCGCTATCCATGTCTATCGCGTGAACCTGAATAATAAGAGCGAGACGTTTTAAAATTTATGTATACAAGATCGAAGTTAAAATTGAAAAGAAAAATCATATCATTCATGTATTATAAAAAGAAATCCCCTTTACCTTCGTAATGACGTCGCCTTTTTGAGCATCGACGGAGACGACAGCGTAGTAAGGTAAATTAACGAATATCGGACAATTGTCGTTTATGTCGAGTATAGTGACATTCACTATGACATGAGCCACCCTGGGCTTCTCCCGATCCGGCGGGTGGCTCTTCGCTTCGACGATCAATTCATAGTGATCGCACACCTCTCGATCGAATCGTATGCCATTGGTTCTGATCGCTCCGGAAGTTGGTCCGATTACAAACATGTCGGTGGGATTAAGAATGCTGAAGACAATGTGCTCGTTCAATAAACTACCGAGAACGTTCACTACAACTACGGTTGCAATCTTTGTGGAGTTCTCCAAGATGGCACCTTCGTAGACATTCTTTTGGAAGATCAAACCGGAGTTCTCCGATTTTTCTACCATCACGTTCACCTGCGCCACGCTCGAGTATTTGCCGTCTGACACTCGCACATGGAGAAGATAGTTCTTCTTCATACGTTCTGGATTATGGACCGTAATAATGCCGCTCTGAGCATCTATATCGAAGGTGTGAGCCTTATTCCCATCGATGATGTCATATCTAAATAATTATGAAACGCATTATCCATCAAGTAAGCTATATGTAGAAAGCAAATCGAGAATCTCAATAATGTAATTAACAAGAGATTTAAAGAACATCTTTTATGGATACGTGCATCCGTCATTTAGTAATTTTCAATAAAAATGATACGCAACGTAAACGAAATACAGTCATTATTATAAACTAAAGCATCTAATATTGAATACAAGATTCTAATAAGGGTCTTGACAGCTCGAAAGCTCACTAACGTTTCTGCAGCGTACGTACCTCAATGCCGCTCCTTCGGAGCTGTCAGGATCGACGGCGTTCACTCGAGTGACGGCGACGTTCTTATACGTCGGCAGCAGAAGCGTGACGTTGTAATCAGTCCTGGAGAACTTAGGCGGACAATCATTGACATCTGTCACGGCTATCATCACTTTGGCGGTGGTCTCGGACGAGAGCTTTGGCTTGCCTAAATCCGAGACCTTCACGTGAAACGAGAACATCGGTATGGTCTCGTGGTCCAGCAGCATGACCGTGCGTATGGCGCCGGTGCTGGAGTCTATGTGGAAGTACTTTCGCGGCAAATCTTCGACAATGTCGTAATTGAGCAGTGCGTTCAACTCGGAATCCGCGTCCTCAGCCTTGATGACCAGCGGCGCGCTCGTGTTGGTCAACACGAGGGAACCGATGCTGGCACCCTCGCTGATCTCGCCGCTGTACTGGGCCTGCAGGAAGCGCGGCGCGTTATCGTTCCGGTCGAGCACGTGAACGATAACATTGCACGTGGCGGACGCGCCGGCCATATTCGTCGCCAACACCGTTAGATTGTAGAACTTGGTCGTCTCGTAGTCCAGCTGATTCTTGATGACGATCACGCCGGTGCTCGGATTCACGAAGAACGTGTCGTCGCGATTGCCGCGCACGATCTCGAACTGCAACGACGACGTACTCCGCGCCTCCACGTGCTTCACGTACGTGCCCAGCTGCTGATTCTCGTATATCTCCGCGGACAGCTCCTTCTGGATGAAGCGTGGCGGGGCGTTGTCGGCCATCGTCACCATCACGTGCACCGGCACGGTGTTCGCCAGCGCGGGAGAGCCGTGATCGGTCGCCTTCACGAGTAGGATGTACTCGGAGGAAACGCCGAGGTCGAGCTCGCGGGCGACACGGATGAAACCGAGATCCGGATCGACGGTGAACACGTTGCCGACATTGCCGGACGTGATCGAGTAGGTGATCTTGGCGTTTTCGCCGCGATCCCGATCGATCGCGCACACCTGCACCACCGCCGTGCCGATCGGCGAGCTCTCGTATACCTTGCCCTGAATGATCTCACTGATAAACTCGGGCGCGTGATCGTTGTGATCGTGGACAGTGACGATCACGCGAGCGTAGTTGCGCTTGGCCGGCGTGCCCTGATCCTTGACCATCACCGTCAGCACGTGCTCCTCGATGGTCTCCCGGTCGAGCGGCTCGTTCAACGTGATCGAACCCAAGACCGAGTCCACGTGGAAAATCTCGAGCGATGCCTGAGTCTGCGCCGCGTGCAGGCTGTAGAAGACCTTCTTATCCTCGTCCTCGTCGGTCGCGTGCAGCTGCAGGATTCTCTCGCCCTTCTCGACATTCTCCGAGATGTCGACGCGATACGTGTTCTCGGTGAACTCCGGCCGGTGATCGTTGATGTCGATCACGGTAACGAGCAGCTGCGTCAGCGTCGTGTGTACGCCGTCGGTTACGCCGATTGTAAGATTGTAGAAGTTCTGGGTCTCCCAATCCAGCCTCTTGGCCAGCAGCACGTTACCGTTGTCGCGGCCGATGAAGAACTCGTCGCGCTTGTCGCCGTCTAAAACGTGTCGGCAGAATTTTCAGGGTGACTCTTGTGATTTCTAGCATTTAATCCCATCATAGATACGCGGAAGCGTAATGTTTAATCCTAGCTAGCCACACTTATTTTCAAGTCCTTAATTCGACACACTTCGTGAGACCGTTCGACTTTGTCGCGTTGTCATTTTCATGCTAATTAATATGTTTAATGTAAGATATGTTTATGGATAATATTAGATCAAGAAAATGAATTGAGTTTAAACTGAATTTATTATAAGAAAAAGATTGCAAGAAAATGGAGAAAGAGTGTTTTCAGAGAAAAAAATTCTCAAATAGTTTTGTAAATGCGATTTAAGAAAAAGTAATGTTTATTCGTTGTTAGCGGATACCTAATACTTAAGAAAAAAAACAGTATGCTATGATTCGTTCCAAAAAGTATATTAATTTAGTCATTTAAATTGTAGCAATTTTCACAAAGAAATAACGAGTCTAAATACAAATAGTATAAAATAACTTTTTACTTTTAGCATGACCTCACATCAAGTATACATTGTTATAAGTATTTGGATTTGTTAAAGAATTATTTTAAAAACTTATAATTTCTTTAAACACAAATAATGTGAAAAACTAGAAAACCGAAAAATGTGGCGAGCTAGGATTAAGAAAATATAGCAAAAATCAGATATCTTTTTAGAGATAAATATACATCCTTATCTTTGCGTTTTAGAAATTTTAAAATTAGAAGTTAGATTACTGAACGATCATATCTTTGGCACGAGAGTAATAAAGAACGCAATGTCTCTCACGGGAATTCTAGATCATCGTGAAAAATGTGTATCCTTTCTTACCTAAAATATCGTACCACAGAGAATCACCGTCTCGGTCGCTAGCTTGCACGAGGGCGACTAAAAAGCCCGCCTCGTCGCTCTCCGTGACTTCTACACTTTGATTGTTTGTCTTGAACACTGGAGGGTTCTCCGATTCCTTCGGCGCCTCCACAACTTGAACAGAAACTCGAGTCTGATGACTACGCTGGGGCTCACCGTGATCGGCCGCTCGTATCTGCAGAGGATATACAGCATGTGGAAACTCCCATTCAAATTGAGTTTACATTGTATAAGAATACCGGGTATGAATATGCCACATTATAAAGTCAGAATCTAAAATCCAACGTGATATGATGCAAACTTACTCAAATTTATTCTTGCCTCTACGCGCCAATTGTTACACAACTTAATATTATTTTATAGGAATAACGAACAATTATGTATCACTTTTACTCTGATTATTTTATTTCTATACTTAAAGATTTTTTTCACAAGGCAGGAACGCACCGCGATTGTAACAGTTTGCAAAATTTGCATTTTGTGAGTGTCAATAAATAATTATTTCACACTATGTATATAGTTATTCATCCCGTATATGATTTTCATTTTCGACGATTAGACTTTGAAATTTCGATTACACAACAAGAGATCGCCCATTTCATTTTCTAATAAAACAGTTATTTGTACACCACTAAAGTGGTTTTAATTAATGAAAAAAAAAAGATTACCATCATTTCGTATTCTTGTCCAGCCTCGAATCCACGATGGGAGTACACCATCCCCGTGGTGGGATGAATTTTAAACTTGCCCTTTCCCCGACCGCCTTTGATGCTATACTGGATTCTCCCGTTGTCACCGATATCTTGGTCATACGCAAGAACCTAAACGTAAATTCCGAAAGTTATCTCATTGCCATTATGTTACGACAAAACCATCGACCGTGACGGAAATTCATCCGGCACGAAAGAAACGTTAGTATTACTTTCAGTACAATCTATCATTGAGAGAATGCTGCGAACAAGAATTAACCCGAAGATAGTGATTAACGTCATTTATAGAGATGTGCGAATCAAGGATTTTTATGTTGAATCGAATCAAATCGAAGCGAATCGAATGATTTCGAGTCAAATAGTTGAAATATAATTTTTAATTAACAATAAAATAATTATTACATTAAATTTTAATAGATAATATCTATGTAAAAGAATATTTAAACGTGGAAAAATAATATTGATTATATAATATAAATTCTTTTTAAAACAAAAATTATATTTAAATATTTAATATAAAACTAATAAAATATATTTTATTTTATGTCGCAGATAGGTAACTGAAACAATTAGCCGAAAAATCATAGATAAATTATTAAAATACTCTAATTTCGTATCCAATAACATTATAATTACATATATAGAAATTAAAACAAAATAATATAGTAAATATAGTTTATTTTATTATCAATGCTCATAGCTTACTATGTTTTACGCATATGTTCAAACTTTTACTTACAATTTGATAGGCTCACTGGACATGTCAAAAATTAAAAATAAACTTTTTGGCTACTACTTATTAGGGGTATTCAAATAAGTTAAAGTTTAACGGTTTGACAGGTTATGTCGGGTTAAAGTCG